TTATAAATATATATATATGGTTGTTTTTGTTGGAGATACTCCTGTCGTATTGAATACAATTGCAATTGAACGTCTGGTCTGTTTTTGATATATTGCGCTTTAATTACTCATGTCTTTGCCTTCTCATCCTTTTTTGTCGTGACACATGCAGCGGGTGCCAATTATTTGTTCCTGTTTGACCATGAGATCATGAAGCACAAGCGCTTTCTAAAGAACCAGGTGAGTGGCCGTCCTCCACTTTGTGTTATTTGTTCGTTGGCGTTAACAAATATTCCTTGAATTGCACGAAGTGTTGTTGCGGGTGAATTTGAAGCTGTTGTAATAGTGATATGAAAACAAACATACTTGAAGTGCGTGAAGTGTATTGTATGTGGATTTGAAGCTGTTTGCAATAGCGATATGAAAATAAACATACTTGAATTGCAGGAAGTGTATTGTATGTGGATTTGAAGCTGTTTACAAAGCGATATGAAAACAAACATACTTGAATTGCATGAAGTGTACTGTGTGTGAATTTCAAGCTGTTTACCAAAGTAATTGAAAGTCTGACGCTTTTGTGTAGCCTGAGCTGTGTTGTACAGAGACTTGGAATTAGTGGGATGAAGCACATGGCCCTGTGTAGTTGTTCTACTGTAGATAACATACACTAGATGTGTAGTTTAGTGCAGTTGTTCTACCGTAGATGGCATACACTTGGTGAGTAGTTTAGGGAAGCCAGATTTGATTCCGATTTGATTCAGATCTGTTTCAGATTTTTTTCAGGTTTGGATTGAATTTGGTTCACATTCGTTTCAGCTCCGGGTCCTCTTTTTTCCTCAGAATACGTCATAGAGAAAGGGACGAGTTGAGTGTACGTGGAGTGGTCTTCGAGCACTTTGCTGGTCACTGTGTGCACCTGCACTACATAGTATAACACACACTCACGTTACTTCACGTGGACGTCTTCTTTTACCTACACAGGTGCGTCTAGAGATCACCGCAGCACTCTTGCACATGCCCCTGATTGCCGTCCTGACCACTCCCATCTTCTGGGCCGAGGTGTGTATCTACGCCTATCGTCGGAGTTTACACACCCAGCGAATACCAGCATGCATGGATTATGTGAAAGCTGACCTCCTGTGAGCAAAATACGTAGCACCACTGGGTTGGTTTAGGGTTTAGGGTTTAGGTCTTTGGGTTGGTTTCGGTCTTTATACTTGTAATGTGCGCCTTGAACGATGCGGCGTGACAAGTGTTGATGTTTTTTTCGTACGGGGTTGTGATTATGTGGTTTAAGATGTGACGTGTTGTCAAGCACTCGTTCTATTGGCATGGAGTGCGGATCACCTACAAGTAGGTATCACAACTGAGGAATAGTACACCCCTATGAACGGTCTCAGGCTGCGTGGAATGGAGACGTTCATACTAGTATGCTGTCCTGTTGCCACTTTGCGTCGTTGCTTAGCAACACGGTCAAGGGCGGCGCTCTGGGCCTTGGTACACCTACTGCACCCCATTTGTGTAGTTACAGTTGAAAATGGACACACCAGGGCATGTGACCCACTCGAGTGGTCTTTGAGTGCAGCTGCGTTGTGGACAAAAGTGTGAGCGTTCTCGAGCTTTAGGGCTTAGGGTTTAGGCTTAGTGTTTAGCTTTAATCGGTGAATTGCACTACGCATCATCGAGGTGCGTATGCTATAACTAGACCCATAATGGACTAATACACCATGTTAGACACGCGATGGACTATTACACAATGGACTACTAATACACAATGGACTAAAATGCAATGGACTATCACACTATGGACTAATACACAATGGATTAACACACAATTTACTTGACACCATTGTGTGGCACAGGTGCGAGGCTACAGTATGCTGTACGATGATGTGGAAGAGTACGGCTTCCCATACCTGGTGTTTAGCATGTTAGCGTTCTTGATGTTCGTGGACTTTGGAATCTATTGGATCCACCGGGGTCTGCATATCCCAATTGTCTACAAATACATCCACAAACTGCATCACAAGGTAACGTTTTAAGTGTGTACGTTTGGGCTTTGCCCTAAAGAGTTAGGGCGGTGTGCGCATGGGTTATGGAGTGGAGTGTACGTTATCTTGCTACGCATTTGGGCGACAGGCGTTGTTTGGATGTGCATTGAGGTTTATCATGTATCAATCACACAATAACCACAGGCTCATGCTTATCCATTCATGTGTACTGTTATATTAAGCTATTGTCTATTTATGCCCGTGCTCATTCATTCATGTGCAGTGGTATATTACGCTATTGTCCATTTATTCCCATGCTCATCCTTTCATGTGTAGTTTTATATCAAGCTATTGTCCATTTGATACCCATGCTCATCCATTCACGTGTACTGTTATATGAACCCATGTCCCCATGCACCCCCTCTGACAGTGGCTAGTGCCCACCCCCTTTGCAAGCCATGCGTTCAACTGGTTGGATGGCTTCTCACAGAGTTCACCGTACCATATCTTCGTCTTCATCGTCCCTCTGCACAAGGTAAGCTCAGTACTAAGGATGCGCTCTGCGTGCTGAGACGGTGTTATGGGTGTGTCTATGTGTGTGTATGACTTGTGTGTCCTTGGACGTACGTTAGGGGGTAGGAGTGGTGTGAGTCAGTGTTACCTCTATATTCCGTCCCCCTGTACGTACGCGTGTATCGTGAACGAGTTACACAAAAGCAACCAGTCCCTCAGAACCAGCATACTCTCCCAAACACAGCAAAAAGGGGATACAATTCTAAATTCCTAAACCCTAAAACCTTGAAACCCGGTAGAGGTTGGCATGCGTGGTGATGACGGAGTTGTTTGCGGTTGCGTTTGTTGCCTGCGTAGTGTGGAGTTGGCGTAGATGTGAGTGCTGTGTGTGCCATTGCGCACAGACGTTCGTAGGACTTCCAGTACCAATTGCGGAGACGCTGAATCCATGCAGAGTGCACGGCCACACCTACATGTGTTATAGCCACACCTACATGTGTTGCAACCACACTTACAACCACACTTACAACCACACCCAAATATCTGTGTTTGGGTATCGTTTTGCTTTGTGCTCTCGCAGCACTTTTCTGGGCAGAAAGCACTGGCGGCATTGCTGAACTTCTGCTGCTGCGACATGTATGAATCTCCCGCTGAGCTACACCAGTGTTGCGAGGGATCACTCATATGCGACGTCTATTACATCTTCACTCCATCCACATCACTTACTTGTTTACTGCTTTACTTCATTCAGATCACTTATTTAGGGCTCTTCGTCTTCGTGAACGTATGGACTGTGTCCATTCACGATGGCATTGATATGCTGCCTGAATGGCTGCAGGAGTATGTCAATGGTATGTGCACCCAACAACCCCAAGGCACACACTACACACAATATCTGCCACCGTCTTTCTTTCAATGCTCATAT